GGACACAATGAAAACTCCTTAATCTCACCACACATGGACAGACACAACCATAGTTTCAACTGGGAAACTGTGAGCACCCTAGACCAAGCTCAATCCAAAAATGCTAGGGAATTCCTGGAAGCTTGGCATTCAGACAAGTCAGCCATCAATAAAGATAAACCACATTTACACATCATTCAAAAGAGACAATAAAAAAGCTAAGCAGGAAACAAAAAGACCCTGATAAGCAGGGATTAACACCAGACAAGCAGTCAAGCAGAAAACAATACCCTAATCAAGGATCTACCAAGGAGAAAACCACACCCCCATCAACACTGGCAGGGCAAGTTGCTGTATATAAACAGGGAGCAAACGCTGCACTCACTCACACTGATGATGTTACCTAGTTGGTAATCAATCGTCTGCAAGCAAACAACCAAGCTCAGAGAGCACCGAGCTAATGAATATATAAAATGCAGGGGAAATCAAAGATGCTTGTTGGTTAGACATGGCCCTTATATAGAGCATTGACCAAAAATCTTGAGAAATGAACATTGTAGCAGAGACACTTATTGTGAGCTCTGGCATATCCATCAGTGGTTTATGAGTATTCTAGAAACAGAAAGTTAGAAGGACAATCTAATTTGGTCCAAGCCAGGGATAGACAATGCCTAGTGATCTCCAGATGCTTCTGACTTTTAACTCCCCAGCACAGGCTAGCCCAAATAGCCAATGGCAAGGGACAGTGGAAGTTGAGGTGCATCAGTTATGCCTGATAAAAGCTATAGAACTTGAAAACGAATGACTGCCTTATTGCATAGAGAGGAGGTGATGGAAATTTATGAGACAAAATTACTGCTGCATTATTCACTGACTTCATTAGGATAGGCGAAGCCTCATTTTTCCAGTAAAGCTTCGAAAATTGTGAGCTGTCTCAAACTAAATTGCAAAAGAAGCTGTTCCAGTTTCATTTAAGTCATACAAGCAATGCACTGAACATAGCAAATGTTATCAAATCAAGGGAATATTGTCATATTCGGAGATGTCCAAGATAGCCACCATTGTAACGTGATATGTAACGTGAGTGTTAACAAAATGCACCTGTCGCCCCCTACTTTCAAAAACAAGAATGCCTTATTTAAAAATATCTTAAGGACACTACAACATTCAGGTTTGGTTTTGCTACAAAATCCTGATAAATTGATCCCTTTGGAAACTTATTGTGGGAGGAGAACTTAATGACCGAGGTCTTCTGTCTGCAGCTGTTGAGTTCCAGAATAAACTTTGGCAGGGAGATTCCACAGTGTTGAGACTCCAGTCCTTCATTCCCCATCTGTTTGTTGATAGCTTTATAGTGGCACACACGTTTGGACGGCGTATGCTCTACCCCGGCTCTGTGTACCTGCTACAGAAGGCTCTGATGCCCATGTTACTTCAAGGACAGGCTCGGCTGGTGGAAGAAGTGAGTAAACGCCAACCAGGAATTTAGGAGCCCCAATTCCCAAACTTCTTTCCAGTCCATTTCTCATCCCAACACAACCCAGAAATTACAGTTCCCTGTTTTATTCTCCCCTACCTGCTCCATCTCAGCCTGAGAAGCTGGCATTTGGAAAGCTTAAAAAAAGGTAGATGGTGCTTATACCCCAAATAAAGGTTGTCCTTCTCCTTGCAGTGCAATGGAAAACGAGCAAAGTTGGCAGCCTGTGATGGAAACGAAATTGACACCATGTTCATGGATCGAAGGGAGACCTCAGAGCCCCAAGGCAGCAAACTAGTGAGTTGGCACCAAGTCATGGTTCAGATCCCAAAAACTTTATTGATAAATCTGCCTTAGTTTCTACCCCACTCATTCTTTACAACGGTCTTACAAAAGAACCTCCCAAGGTTACTAGGTTGCTCTGTGAGTAGACTCTATTTCCACATCACTGACACCGAAATCAAGCGGCCTTCAAAGCAGGAACTATTATCCATCTGTCTTTTGTTATTCTATTGGTTCACCTGCATGAAAATGCCTGGTTGCCTATATTAATACGTTGTTACTATATACAGTTGCTTCTCAGAGAAGCTGATCCAGCTCTCTAATTGTGTGGGATAGTCCTCCCGTCATTTGCTTTGCTTAAGGTGGCCTCGTGCTTCTAGTTTCAGATTTTGCTCAGCAGCTGGTGTAACAGATACACTGACTAATAAAGACTGGAGGAATCTAGTTTCAAGCTGTCCTACATTTATAAGTAACTTTGGGCAAGACTTCTTGTCTGTCTATCTGAATATGAATGAGTTACACTTTATCTCAGATACCTTGTAGAGTTGCTGTGGGGATAAGATGGGAGCAGGCCTCTGGAAGTTGCTCAGCATTCTTTAGAAATCAGGGTAGCATGCCAATCTAATCAAGTAACAACTGTAGGAAGTTGTACGAGTTGACTCGCCCGGCAAGATAATTTGGGCTCCAGTGCACTCCTTCGTAGTGAAGGCAGGACAATCTCTTTCTCAAACCAGGTAACCAGGAGTCTCTCATCAACCCCAGGCAGCACAGCCACTTTTGGTGGTATCTGGAAGGCAGGGAAGATATTTAATACCAGAAAACTGCAGTGCCTCTCAAACAAACATCTAGGCTTCTTACTGTAGGAATCTTCATGACCTCTTATTCTCTGCTATCTCAAAGAGGATTGAAGTGTGGTTGTAAAGCTTCATACGGTAGGGCCCAGCAAGTGTTCCATATTTTGGGTGCCACACAGGAAGTACATCACTTGCATCCTTTGGAGTAAGAATGGCTCTCACTTGCATTTACAGGGAACTAAGTTGTCAACTCCAGATTTAGGACAGTTGAATGGCTTAAGGCATGAAGAGACCAAATGAAATGCACATGATGATTTTCTTTTCTTTTTTTTTAAGTAAGTCTTTGTTGCAAAACAGAAGCACCCATTATTTTGTAGATAACTCATCCAACAATAAAACTATTCGGAGATCGCAGCCTCTGTTGCTCCATAGCTACTGGTTAAAGGAGTGCTGCAGAGAGGTTGGGGTGGGCGATGGTTTCTCTGCAGCTTTGCTGGGGAGATTGGTTGATCTTCATTCACAGGTCCTGCAGTGCCGTTCCTCTAAAGATGATCCCCATCAATATCCCAGTATGTACCACTGTTTGGATAAATATAGCTATTAGTCATGCACAGAACGTTCATAGGCAGGAAGTAGGTGGAGATTCAGTGAATGTTGGCTGGTTGCACAGTATGTTTCCTGTAGTTTTTGGCTGGTGTAATCACTTCCCTATTTTTGTTCTTTCAGGTGATTTGCTGTGAAGGAAATGCAGGCTTCTATGAAGTAGGCTGTCTCTCTACTCCCCTGGATGGTATGGTCCATCTCTCTCCATTGCACTGTTTTAAAGGGGAAAGGACTTTTAGATGAATTAATTCACTATTGGATAGATTGATGGATGAACTAAACTGTTACATGTATCTTATGTCCTGGAATTGAATTAAACCAGGGATTCTCCTAAAATGATTGCAGGAAAGTTTAGACTCATCACTAGGGACCCTCTCCCTTCTACGATGTTTCTGGGATTGGGCCAAATAGCAGGATACTTTCCATTTGTATCCTCTCCTGGGATACAAAAAGGTTATCTCTGCTAGTTCCTTTTAAGCTGCTGGAGACTAAAGATTGCTCCCCTTCCTTTATTTCTGGCCTAGTCTGGTGTTCTGTGCAGCAGACGGTCTCCCTTCATTTGGAACAAATCCATTTTTAATCTGGAAAAGGGGAGGGCGTCTGGATGGCGTCTTAGAAGCAGGGCTGGGAAAATCAGGTCATTGGGAGAAGTCATCCACAGCCAGAGAAGTAGTTGGGATGGTGTAGAGCTGCGGTTATATGCTGCCATGGACAACCATGTGGAGTTCTGCACCTTCAGTTCCCATCCAGGTTTCCAGAGCTGAAGTGAGGGAATGGTGGAAAAGTGTTCTGTCATACTTCTCTGGGCATTGCAGCAGAGTGGTGAGACCCCATGGCATGTTCAGGGCAAACCTTGGTATAGTACTTTGGAATTTACACTTGCAAAATCATCATAGCTGCTTTAAGACCAGATAGGACTGACACTGTGTAAGGATCCTCCTTACCTGTCAGGTTCAGCCCAAAGAACTCCACGAGACAGTGCAGATAACAGTTCTGTTAGGTTTATTAGCTTCCACCTCAAGACAGAAATCTCTCCAGACTGAATCTAACTTCCCAAGCC